ACCATGGTCGAAGTCACGGGCCCGAGCTAAAGGCGGAATAGTTGCGACGACGACCGCTCTCACTTCGCTCCCGGCCAGCTGAGAGACACGTCATTAGATATCGTCGAGCAAACCTATTCGGGACAAACGTCATCAGAGGCACGGACAAGGGAGCTGAGGAAAAGCAGCGCGTGCTCCCAAATCAATTCTTCAACAGCCTGCAGAACCCACAAAGTCGAACGATGGCCCAAGTCCTCGTGGATCAATACTTCCTCAATGTGCCAGTGGTGACACGAACTTATGTTGCCGCCTGTGTTTTGACAACGCTCGCGGTTGAACTCAAAGTTTCTAGTCCATTGACTCTGTACTTCAATCCGACGTTGATACTACGAGGTCAGGTGTGGCGACTCTTCACAACCTTCACCTACTTCGGTTCGCTGGGCTTGAATTTCTTCTTCAACATGATATTCACCGTGAGGTACTGTCGGATGTTGGAAGAAGGTTCGTTCTTGGGGCGTACGGCCGACTTCGTTTGGATGTTCATTCTTGGAGGAGCTTGCACGGCGATCGCAGGTCTCTTTGTACACATACTGTTCCTCGGTCAGGCGTTCACTACGATGCTGGTGTATGTTTGGGCTCGGAGGAACCCCCATTTCCGACTGAACTTCTTCGGCCTGATCAACTTTCAAGCGCCTTATCTACCACTAGTTCTCTTCTCATTCGGCCTACTCCTAAATAACGCTTGGGTGGTCGATCTAATCGGCATCAGCGTGGGACACACCTATTACTTCCTCGAAGATGTTTTCCCTCGGCAGCCGAACGGCTTCAAAGTCATCCACACCCCACAATGGCTGAAGTTACTGTTCGATAATACGAACGAAGATACCGAGGAAGATACTCCGCTCGATGATGTGACGAGGAATCAACAGCCCGGGGGAGCACAGTGGGGTGATATGTAGCGTCCGGATCCGCATCAACCGAGTGCGTCACGCTCGGAAATCGCATCAAATCAACTTCTGATTTGTTTCTTCCGAGAAGAGCCCTCGGAAGATTTAGCTTTCCTCTAAGTTCCAAAACGTGAGAGTATTCTGCTCAAACCAAATTCGTATGGAGACAGAGGAGTAGAGAAGATTGTGGGTAGTTCAAAGCTTTCAGATTTCATTTCGATGGAACAAGGGAACGGGAAGATATCTCGCGATTCGAACCCGAGTCCATGCCGCGAGGAGTGACGAATCGATCCCGTTCATCGATGGGATCTCTCAAGAGCAGCACGGGAGAAAGATCACTCCTCGAACTCCTGAGCCGGAGGGAAAAGATCGAATTGCGGGAGCATGGGGAAAAATTTACTAAAACTTACATGTTTGCGTAAATTAAATGGCTCATTGATTAATTGATGAAGCGACTACAGCTCAGTGCCGGCGGAATGAGGCATCGGGCTGACCGAAACCTTGCAATGTAAATATCTAGGATAAGAACATACAAAGTTTTCCCACCGGGTATGTCTGATGGCTGGGCACGAACCCAAACTGTTAATACTGATACAGTGATGAAGATATATTTATCGTGATGAGTGAGGATTTAATAAAGTCGATCGAACACGAGTCGTTTTTACACAGAGCCATCGTGCGTTTTCTGCGGGGCGCGGACGCGTGGCAGGGGAGAAGGCGTGGTATATGGTTGGATCTGATGAGATTGGTTGCAATTTACGACGACTCTCGCGATGACGGACATGGGTCCCGCTCCCGTAATTCATAAATTCTTCTCTTGCGCCTGACGAGCGACATGGTCAGCTTGTTATTCCTCATTCCATCCGTCTTCGAATTGAGAAGCGATGAGGGAACACGCCGACCACGTCTCAGCAAGCGGTCTTAGAACGCGGTTGTCGAACCCCTTTATTATCGGCGGAATCCGATATGTCTTGAATTCGATTCCAAATGCGCTAGGGAAAATGCGAGTTCGATGCCCAATGTGAAGCACAGGCGCTCGGGATCGATCCGCGAAACTACATAGTTCTCTACCGTCGAGTGGAATTATTGAATCATCATCTGATCAGCTGGTCTGAAATTCTATTCAAATGCAATTTTTTGGCAGGAAGTAACGCTCGCAGGAGTGGCATTGATCGCTGACACATTGGCTTTCCTCAAGACATCGTCGCTGTCCTTTAACCCTGCACCAGTCACATTTCTCGACGATTGTCTACTAGTCATACCGATTCCGTTCTTCTTTGTGAACACAGCGTTGAACGTGATCGCGGAGATCTTTCACGCAAGCGTAAGTGAGATAAGAGGGAAAACCTCGTTCTCAGCTTCCCAAGCATTAAAGAGATGGCCGACTGAATGGTCGAGAGACAAGGGCGTCGACCGTCCCGCGCGCGAATCGTGCAGCCTCCGTGGGGTTTCCCGTCAGCGAGGTTCGGAGCTGATCCAAGGCAGAGTCCTCAGGCGGTAGCCTCTATACTTTTCAAAAATAAAATTCCTTCCATCTCCGAGATCTGTCCGCCGTGGAGAAGCCGGGGACTCTCAACTTCGGCGGAGGACGAAATCATCACGTCCAGCAGGGAGGAGTCGGCTATGAACGCATCGAGAGGGACGCTTCTGACGAGCGGAAAGTTGAAGAATGTTGAAGTTTTTCACGCATCTAACTCCATATTTCAGGGCTCCGGGTATCGGGCTGGGGTTCTGCTCCTACAACTCCTCCAAGTCCTTCTCCAGACGCCTATGCTCATTGATGGTCTCCGTCGATCGACTTTCTCGCCGAAGCAAAGGTCTGATATTGAATTTCAGCTTCTCGTTCGCGGGTTCGGGAAATTCTCATAATAAAAGGAAGGAGGTCGAAGGAACGAGTGCTGTTCCAGGTATAAGAAACCGGGACGGGAACTGGTAACTTTTTTGATCATCATCAACCTGGCTATGTGGGTTGTCTTCACATTCGAACTAAAGAAAGCAGATACCCTCGTGGCTGCACCGAAGTTTTTCGGCGAACGTTGGCTCTACATCGGGCACACAACTGTGCCCCTGATGCTATTTTACAGGTAGGTACGATAGTTCAGGAATCGATTCTTGGATCCTCCAGACCTCGTGAGCTCCGAGCCTACTTTCTCTCCCTCAACTCCTCCTCGCCGGAGCGGACGAGAGAACTAAACGATGAAGGTGCTCGCTTGAAGGTTCCATTCGGCGGTCTGTTTCGCGGACATCTGGAAGAGTGCCTACGAGAAAGAAGAGGACTGAAATTTCGTCGCTCGATGTTCCCGAGTCGGAATCGAATGATCTCGCCACGAATCGCCCTCGCAGCAGCAGGTATGCCCAGCTCTGGGCAGGAGTCTCCCAGTAGATCAAATAAAGTGTCGAGTCTCGGATGGATGGAGTCTTAGTTTTCTCCCGTTTCGGAGCTCACGCTCCTGTTATCGTAAGCAGCCCTTCCGTTTCGAACCGTTCGACAGATACCGCACTCCAGAACAATTATTAAACAGAAAGGCAAATTTCCTCGATATCAATATGGTATCATATTGTTTATTTCGGGATTCGATCTTTCTCGAGTGTATAATGGGTTCCGCAGAACTCCTTGAAAAAATAATTTCCATTTGTTGTCGGTGACGTCTTAACAAATACATGCGGAAATAAAAATGACGATAACAGTCAAAACGAACGATGTGCTTGACTCCGATCATCGATCTATCTCAACGCTCTTCATCGATAGCGACTAGTGTCCGAACCGTTCTAGGGCGGGTTCCCCGTTTTACGCTATCCCCCTGAGGACATTTCTGTTGTTGCTCGGCGTAATCCATTTCTCTTCGATCTCAAATCTTCATGGATAGGAGGAATCCTGCCTCGTCGGGTATATGGCCGTCCAAGCTTGGACCGGGGCGGGAACTGCCTGCGGGGTAGCTACGCCCGTACTGTAAAATAGAGGAACCGCTCGTGGAGGGGAGCTCGCTTGGACGCCTGCGAGCGGACCTCCCTGACCGACTGTCTGGCCGGGGTAGACCGGCACTTGCTGCTGATAGTACTGTTGCAGCTGTTGGTAGCACTGTTGTTGTTGTTGATGCTGCGGATGCTGTTCTTGCTGATGCTGCTGTTGTTGTTGCTGCTGCTGCTGTTGATATTGTTGGATCTGATCGTAGCTCAGACGTCGGTCAAGCGCTGGAGGATTCGCTTTGTGACGCTGAGGCGAGGAAGGCATGGAACTAATCGGGGACACCATGGCGAGGTTTTGCGGCGACGGCTCTACGTGTTGGAATTGCTGATACGATTGTTGGGGAGGAGTGTGCATCTGCTGCTGTTGTTGTTGCTGCTGCTGCTGCTGCTGTAGCAATAATTGCATCCGAACCCGTTGTTCTTGCAGCTGCTGATCGTCCGCTGCCTGCTGGGACGCTCGTTGTGGCGAATGCCCAAGCGACTGGTCTTCAGGTTGTTCGTTTGGGGATTGAAGTACTGACGCCGGTAACGAGGCCCTCCGCTGCTGCTCCTGCTCAGCGAGTTGCTCTTGTTGTAGAGGCGGAATTCTATCCTGACTCTGCGATTTCGGCCCCGGGCTCATTTGTTGTTGGATTTGCAGGATGCTCGCGGCGGTGCGTGCGGTTTCTTCGGATGAAATTGGTCCCAGGCTGTGCATGACGGTATAATGATCTTTACTCCCACACTTATGGCAGGCCTCCTTCGGGCCGTCGCACTGGCGCGGTGATACGTGTTGAAATTGGAAGCATTTCGGGCAACGCTTCTTCTGATTAAGTATCTCGACGCGGCGATGACCCGGAAGGTCCGCTGAGCAAACTGAGGGACGATGCTCGGAGCTACCGCAGAATAAGCAGGGGTTCTTCCGAACCTTTGGCTGCCTCCGAGATCCCTTGCTTGCGGCCGCAGGGCTGTAGACGGGAATTGTTGACGGGGCTGAAATCTGGGGGCTTCGCGCGTCTTAGGTCGCTTCTGATCGTGAAGACCCAATCCGTTGACGTCTCCGACATTATTCCGTTGCTTGGTTGAAGCTCTCTC